ACACACACACACACACACACACACACACACACACACACACACACACAGCAGGATTATTATTGAGTTCCATGTTCATATATGCCTGACTAAGTATTTACAGTCGTGGCAATATTCAACAACATTTAAATCAACTTATTAAAAGTGTTGATAGTCAACAGACATTTATAATAGGAACAATTCTTAGTTGTAGCCTTAATAGTTTTCTAAAGTAACTTTGTGCATAGTCATGGATGCATATTTTAATAAATTTGAATTTCAGTATAAAAACACATTGTGAATATGCTGCTGCATGTTCATCTTTGGGATACGCTGTAGTTTTGCCTCCCAGAAAATAAGATTTTCCTGGACTTTCCTCTCGGCTCCTAACCCGGTGGGGTTCTTAACCTGGGAGTTAGTTCAGCATAAAAGTAAAAAAGCGTTTATCAATTTTGAGAAATGCTTTAGCACCAACGAGGCTAGAGCCAGCACTAAAACATGTGTGAGCACGTAGTATGCAGGGTGTGGTTTCATTAGGTGTATGACTGAATGATTTGCCGTTCAGTATGCACAATGTGTGTTGTGCTTACGTTTACAGTATTTCAGGCCCACATGAACATTTGCTCACCAGAGAAGAGCAGCCAGAGATCACCTCGCATGCTCTCAGGAATCCCCTTCAGGACCAGCTCTTTCGTCTTCTCGGTGCGGTACATACACACTCCCTGTCCATACTCTGTAAAGTGGTTCTTCCAGGCCTGCTCCTTCAGGAACTCTTTCGCCTGAGCAAAGAGGGACACACATGAGATGCAGAAGCTCAAGCACAATTAATGTAACCATTTTTCTGTCAGAGTCCTGCTTTTACTATTCCACACCAGAGGTTAGATTGATTTCTGGCCCACTCCACAAACGCATGAATACTGTAACATTCTATAATTCAAGGTCACAGTCCTATTGCATTGAGCTTAAGTACAGGTCTGGCTTTATTTATACAGTCTTGCAGGAAAAGAAGTCTTGGTAGGTTCCCGTTACTAGCAATCCGCCATGCAGCTTAATATCCGTGCAGCTTAATGATGTGAAAATGGTAATTATGGAAAGGCAAGCAAAAAAAATGTGATAACTGAGAATATCCAACACAGAAGCAGAACAAATCAGAGTGTTGCGTGCTCGACAAGATGAACTTTTAATTGTAGTCGACAAAAGTGCATTTATCTCACCAGCTTGGGATTGAACTCCTCAGGAGAGCGGCGGCGGTACATGGTCATGAGGGCTTGTGTGGCTGTGGGAACGCTGCTGTCGTTCAAGTTGAACGTACGCTCGCCTTCTGAGCTCAAACTGTGCTGTGGGCTGCTGGAGAGCAGAGATCCAGGCTGGGAGTAAACCTGGAGGCGACAGACACCATATTTAAGCTTTGGAGCTTTTAAATGGACACAGTCCAAATATTCACAGTATTTTATAGATTCTACTTAAAGTAAACTCGGTGTTTAAGGAACAAAATCATATTTTTTCACCTCATCGTCTGAGCTGTTAAGGCTGGCAGTAAGCTCTCTCTCCAGATAGATCTTAGAGGTGGTCTGCTGCAGGAAGTCAGAAATCCTCTGGACCAGGAAGTCTCGGTCCTTCAGATTAGCAAACAGGAATGTCATACGATTCTTGGTACTGATGGAGAGCGGGCTGGGCAGCACATTGGAGCTGTCTGCCTTCTCCACAATAGTCACCTGGAAAGACAACAGGGAACATTTCCGATCTCAGTTAAACAAAAAGCTATATGATAAATGACAAGCAGCCATATATAAAATGTGTCAGAAATAAGAACTCTCATTTAAAGACTACACTAACCAGCTTTTATTTCCATGATAAGCAATTTAATATAAAATAGAATACTAAAAAATGTCTATTCCATGTCTATTCAAACGTAGCCCAATTAAATGAAAACATATTGCAGCGCACAAAGTAGCTCTGACCGAAGGATTGGTTGTTGCTAAATTAGGTTAACTTAATCTGACTAACATAAACGGTTTGAATACTACTAACTCTGAACCCATTTATCAGGGAATGTATAAATAAAAGCCATACGTGAATTAACATTTAGCTAAGTTTATTATATTGTTTGGCCCCTTTAACTTACTTCTGAAAGTTCTATTACATCCTGTTTAATTAATTAATTGCCTTTGATTGGATGGCGCTGATGTTTCCTAGAAACCGATTCACAGAACAACTTGCCTCTCGTAGCGGGATAATGAGGCTGCACAGAGTCTCTTCCTTGCTGGTGAAGCAGATGTAGTTGGTGGAAACAAACATCTGTCCCAGGATGTGCATCTTGTTAAAGGGGGTCCACAGGGTGCAGTCTGTGTGTCCGTCCAGTTTTTCATCTTTCGGTAGACGGAAGAGCGCCCGGTAACGCTCGCTCTTAGCTCTCGCATCCAAATCCCTGAAAGATATAAAATGCAGAGTCATATTACATGGCAGATTTTTGTAAATATTTAACAGTTATTAACAGCTTGGTTTGACATAATCGTGCATTATAAGCAACATAATACCTGCACAGTCTATCCTGTTAAATTTACAATAACAAATCGAGTGGATAGTTTCATTTCCCCATGTTACACAACTTGGCAATGCAGCATCCATGTAGATACAGTGAAGTGTTGTGCAAGAGCAACCATCATACAACCCCAGACAGCAGTGGAACCAAATCATGCTTACCGGTACATAAAATGTGTTGATCAGGCAAAAATGGGCTCTTGATTAAGGGCTTGCAGAGACCCATTTCCTAACACATGTACGACGTACTTTTGCAGTTAAACTGTAAAACCTAAACTTGCAACACAGTTTGAGGCTTTCATCCTCTATCGTTAAGTGTCTGGATAACCACCTGCTCTACCAACCATGACAAATTGATGTTCGATCGACTGCATGTCATGAACATGCTTAAACGACATTAATTATTGATGAGCATTAAGTGTTCTTTCTCACCTCTTGAGTGCCGACGCCTTCTTGGGCGACTTCTTCTTGAGCTTGGGCAGCGAGCGGTCCTGCTCGAAGCCTTTGTTGTCCAGGAGTTGACGCATGGCGATGTTGGCCAGCTGCTCCGCCAGCTTAAAGGTCTCGTTGATGTTGAGGAAGACGGAGAAGACGTGCTCTTTCACGCGGGTGCTCACCTTGACTGCGTCGGGCAGGAGGAGGGTGGCGCTCTTCTCCAGCTGGGTGATATCTGCCCAACGCACCACCAGTTTGACTAACAGTTACAAAAAGACATTAAAAAAGAGAAATCAGTATATATTGACAATGTAAGACAAACTAATGGCATAAAGCAGCCCTCGGGATATGGTTTAAGACTTCCAAAAGTTAAAGTCTTTGACAAAGTTAGGTAATAAAAGGTATCAGTATAGGTAAAGATAGGGCAGTAGACAGATGAATAGTAAATTAATATATCCAACCTTCTTTTCCGAGTAAGTAGGAGTAGAAGCAGATGTGGTTGATGCTGAGGTAGAGCCATCCCTGCCGTGGCACCTTGCCCTTCCAGTAGCTGCAGGAGTAATAGTTAACCAGCTTCTCCTCCTCCGGCATTCCAAACAGCTTACGAAACTTGAAGCTGGCCTCCTTGAACTTATCCGTGTCATCGTCCTCTTTGACGTCGTGGTTCTTGTTGTACTCCGCAATGATGCCCTGAGGCAAGATGGTCAGAAAGAGAAAGAGGTAATGAGCTGGGGCATGGCAACATGTTTCTCATGAGTAGATGAGAATTGCTGAAGGTGCAGTTGGGGTCTTTGCTACACTGCTTTTACTGATTCTCTTCCAATCGAAAAATACTGCACCACCATCTCATATACTCTGGCTGGAGGAGGTTATTGCACACCTTAAAACTCAAGCAAAAGCATACCACTCAAACCAGTATTTTTCAAAATGAATGTGCATCATGTCACAATATATTCTCTCTTGACAATTCCATAAAAATACTTGAATAAATACATTGTTAAATATACATGTTATTGCATCATATTATAGAGAATTTTGCCAGATAAAGTGCATCTGTCAGATTTTTTTGGTCTTTGGCTTTTTAGTTTGTATGATAATTGTTACTATCTTGAAACTATTTAAATTTTCTTAATGACTGCAATTAATTAATTGTATTCAATTGATTTTGTGTTGTTGATTTTGTGTCAACAACAACAACAACAACAACAAAAGATATACATTTTCATATATCTTAAGTATTATCCTAGTATCACTGCTCTGATTGGTCCAGTCTAGAAGTAGCTCAAATCATGCAGGAGGTTATACTATAATATTTATACTGTCCTGTATACAGTATTGTACTTGTTTTGCTCTGTGGTGGTTACTAGACAATGCCTGATTTAAAGTCCAAACATCAAACTACATTTTTGATGGAACAGTTTAAGTACTTACCTGGACTTTTCCTTTGACAAAGGTGGTAATGTCATTCTCATTCTCAAAGATGGAGAGAGTCTGCAGCAGGTTATGTTCCAGCCACTCCCAGTGCTCTGTAATCTCCTTACGGGAGGTTCCTGCAGAGGAGTGAGAAGAGACAGTCCGAGCACTCAGCAACTGGGTTCACAGGAGGAGAATGATGGTGTAAGGTTTCAGAAATAACTGGCAGTATGGTCACAATCTAGCACTGGGCCACACGTGGATTTCTGGGAAGATATGACCATGCAAAATCAGAGATATTGAGGTATTTTGTATTCCTGAACAGTGAGTTCGGAGATCCAATTTAACTGGAGAAAAGGCTAAAGATGGCAAAAGCATCAGTGTCAGCCAAATCTTAAATGAAATGCATATATTCCATGTCCAACAGCAGCACTATGATGATCATGTTGTTACTGTTATCAGTGAGGTCGAAACAGAATTTTTTTTGGCTGCCGGAGAAACTGATCACAGTAATGGCTGCCACTGTGGACCATTATCCCTCAACACTGCTGCACACAGCCCTTCAGTGAGTGCACAGTCACTAAATTAGCCCCGTCTGCCAGACTGCTCCACTCTCCTCTATCTCTGGGTGGACGACTTGAGGGCTGGGAGGGGTGGCGAGGGAGAGGAGGGGAGCAACTGCCATTTCAAAGCCAGGCCAGTCTTCTGTGGGCCTCCATTTCAGACAGCGAGCACAAACGGTACTCATTTAGTAGGGAACAGCTGAATTAAATGCATAGTTGCACATGTACTCAAACTCATTGTTGCTGGCGTTTTCAATACCGTCCCATCCTCATTGAATTTGAAACTACAAATAATTACAGCAGTTTGATCTCATAATCTTACCAAGCATCATCCTGATTTATTTCTATGCGTTCCCAAAATTTGTGATTTGTATTGTATTGCCTCAGAACTCCCACTTATGCACATAAAACACAGCGAAAATCACTGGTCCAAGCTTCTCAAATGGGACCATTAGCTGATTTTCTTGTTTTTTTCTGATATTAAACTAATACCTTGGGTATGCCAACTATTCTTACATTTGTAGATTAAATCGAGAAAATAATCAGCAAATGAATTGATAAAAATTAAAAAAAAACATTAGTTGCAGCCCTGGTTTTGAGTTGGAAGTGTCAAAGCTTTTCCTGACATTATTTTATAGTCAATGACACTGCACAAAAGAGTGCTGCTTCCAATCAATTTGGAGTGCGGCTGCTACTTTGCATGATTTACTGCCTCAGACTGTCACTCACTGGAAATAACAAGTGAAGCTCTGCATACAGAGAATATGCAGATTACATTATTGTGAGATACCAGCAGATGAAGTTGAATCATAATGAAGCCCAATCAAGCAATAAGCAGAAAAACACAACATATACTCATATTTGAGCATCGATTCCTGCCCCTGATCCCGTAATCCTGCTCTTTAACACCACCGGGGCATGAGGTAATGCTTGGCATTCAGGAACTAACATGGAAAAAGGCAGGATGTTGGAGAATTATGTGGTGTGTGTGTGTGTGTTGGATGGGGCAGAGATGTGAAAGGGGTGAAAACACAGAGAGGTTTATACTGGAGTAACCCATACCTGTATATCTAAAATGTGCACCTTAAGTGATGTAAACCAACAAACTGAATTGTCAAAGTAGACTTGAGGTTAGATGCATTTCCTCATAAATTTTTTGGAGCCAAGAGTTAAAGTGCACATACCATGAGCAATGATCCAGTAAACTAAAGAGTCGGGAGTCTGGTACAGGATCCTATATGGGGCCATCCGAGCACTGGAGTCCAAGACGACATCCAGGGTCCCAACCAGCAAACCTGCAAGAGCCCAAAATACTGTTATTAAGGCAGAGAACCAAACATCTACTTCAAAACACTTCAGATTAGGCTAAATAAAGAGCTCCTTGTGTTGGTCCAAAAACAATTTGAAAAAAAAAAACACACACTCTGAAATTAACTCGTGACGCAAGTTAACCTAAAAATGTGTTCAGCAGTGAAGCAATGTCACAGACATGTAACAACTGTAAATGACCTTTTTTTAAAGTGCATAAACAAAGGGGAATCCCATGAGGTCTTGTGGTTTAACGATGTGAAAACATCCTGTGCCTTGAATGTTTACGCTTTGCATAGAACGGCTTGGTTGACTTGTTAGACATGGCAGACTGCATGACATCTGCATGTGTTGGACTCTGGGGTATGATAACTAAATTGATTTTGTCATTTAAAGCCAGGTGATAAATGAGGACAGATAACCAGTGGTGTGAAACTGTTCTTAATAATGGCGTATAACTGATCTGAGAGCAGATTTTAAAACCTTTTTATAAAAGTTTTTAAATTAGAAATAGTTACCACAATGACTTGGAATTTAGAAAACTACAGCTGGCTAATTTGCCATTGTGATACCAGTTTCCAAGCTGCTGTTAGCTGTGAACATTCTCTTTTCTTCAGAGCAGGTATATACGTTGAACTGCCACGAGAGACGGGTTATTTTTGTCTAGCAGCTCATCGGGGAAAACACAGTATGAGTCACACAGAGAGAGGAGGAAGGGGAGAGAGAGAGGAGACAAGTGAGTGAAACTGAAATATTTTCTCATTTTCAGATGAAAACAAGCCAGAAATAATAAAAAAAAAAAGTAGAACTGCGTGCTTCAGACTCACTGACCCTCTCGCATTTAAAGACCATGGACTACAGTTACAAACATTCACTCCGTCTGCCTTCTACCCTCCTTGTGTAAGTTATTCTCTCCCTTTACCCGCATTTTTCATATCCTGTTATGATATTATTTTCCTCCTTACAGTCCTCATCAGTCCCTTACACCATGTTGTCCAGATGAACACTCAAGAAAAGCAACAATAAAGCAACTTCTGCTTCAATAGCAGAGACATGACTTCTCTATAACAGTAGATACAGTTAGATGGTGACTGTCAACCCACATGTCATGTGTCAGAGCACACACAAATAAATTATTCCCTTGAATTTGTAACCACGCTGTCCACGGGGCTGAAGGAGTTATTCAACTAAAGTGGATTCTAAAATCATACTGAAACTAATGAGATAACTCAGCCTGACACATTGGTTTAGTCCCAGTGTGAACACGACTTCCTCTTTGACAAAAGAAAATCACAAGGTTTAAAAGTCATAACTGAAATGTTTGCTCACACCTCAATAGAAGGATTAAATGTGTTACACAGCTAGCTTTTCCTTTAATACAAATGTGATACAGCGAATGAAAGTATCTACAGCGATTTCTTTAAGTCTTGCGGTTAGAATTCCATGAAAAGCAGTCAATTTGGGCTTAGGTTGTGCTGCATGTAATGAATGGTTCAGCCTACAATGTGTGAGCTGAGGTTTAACGCAGGAAACTTGGGGGTACAAACCAGCAAGGAGACCACTGAAGGTGTCAGACCACTTGACAGCCACCTTTCCCTCCTCTGATATCGATTTAAGTAAAACCCCCAAACAGACAGAAAGCCAGCCGTTTCTTAGCCTTGACTGATCATGGGTTGTTGTTGTTTACTTTACAACATGCAACCCCGAACATCACATGCCTCTGCAGCTTTAACTCATCACACCAAAATCCATGTGACTGCTTGTTCCAACGCACACTTTTGCGTTTACAGAGATTTCCTTCCACAAGCTGAATGAGTGGGTGCACAACCTACAAAACAACAAGACAACACACAGCTGTAACGGTTGTTCCGTCTATTCTTTTCTGAGGGGTATAGAGAAACACTTTCCTTGTGAGGAAAACAAGCTGTAAAATAATGTGATGCTTTCTGCCTCTCAAGAACAAGAACACAATCAGAGCTTCCTATATTGTTAGAGCAAAACAAATCGCTTTCTCTGAAGCATTATTGTTTTTCACTCAGTGAAGGAGCAGGAAACCAAAACCAACAACATTAGGGGGAAAAAAAAAGCTAAGTCTTTCATTTGTTTATAGCCTCTTTCTGACAAAACTGAACAGCTTGTGGGAGGATGCTCGTGTAGGATGTTTGAGCACGCAAAGGATAAAAATATCCATCAAACTGAAAAATCCATACTGTTTCAGATAACAGAAACCTGAGACAAGCCTGCATCATCATCATCATCACCACATGCATGTTTGCCTCCACATATGCAATATGTACAGCTTCTTCATCATTTTATGAAGTTCAATGTCACTGTGTGGCCTACAGAAGAACAGGGTCACTATCATGACACACGACACACTTCCTGGCAAACATACAGTAATTAGCAGCTGGATTGTGAAATATCATGTTGACTCTGACTCAAATAGTTGTGTTGTTTTATGCTCAAGTGTTGCACAACAACTGACACGATGGCCTGATTCTGAGATTATTTACAGTTGGATGAATGCAGGTTTTGTTTTGTATTATTATCTAGCTTCCTCTCTGAACATGCTGACTATTAATGATAACGGCCACATATAGACAACAAGGGATCCCAGACGTCCTTTCAAATGTCCCTCCAGCTCTGCACTGCCCCGCAAAACACTGTGCATGCAAACTCGGTTATTAGATAAGACTAAGTCACTGTTGGTCGCTTATCAGGTTTAATGTGTCAATTACATTAAACCGAGCAGGTACATCCCACGCTGTAGACCTACTGTCAGCTTTGTCAAGTCAAATTTTATTTTTATGCATCTTTGAAACCTTCCCTGTGGAGTTCTCTTGTAAACAAACTAGGTTACATTATGTTCACAATGCGGTGTGTATCCTGACATGAGAAATGTGCTGAATGCATTTCCTTCCTCAAAACATCTGCAGGGAGGAGTGTACCAAGTTTGAAACTTGATTTGTTTACATTCATGTTTGCTAGCTTGCAATATTCCTCTTCACTGCCTTTGCTGGCACATTGCTGCATTACATTACTATTCTCTGGATGCATGATATTCTTAATGATACGAACATCATTAATGATCTGACGAGCTTTCGAGTATTGAAGGAAAACTACAATAGATTCTTATTGTTTGAGGGTTCCATGGAGATGAATCCTTCAAAAGATGTATTCAGAGAAATGAGGTGAACTGGAGTTGAACATAAAACTGATGTGTAGATGAGGACATTTGGAGAAGCAGAAACCATTGTTTGATTTGTCAGACTTTGACAAGTTTTTGGAGGAATTATATCTCAGAGCAGTGGAGCAAAAGCCATTACACATTTGCCTGTTTTCACCAAACATCACTGGCCCTCTGGCAGCCTTGACATCAGAGCTTGAGCCCCGTTGTTTTGAACATGCATATCTGTGCCTGGCTATGTAAAATGCTCCGTCCTGGTGCAGCTGATTTGGTTTCCCTTTTCTTGGAAGAACTGCTTGTGGGCAGTGCCAGTGTCACTGGGCGATGGTGCCAACTGGCACTCAGCACAAGTCAGCAAGCTCAGCATTTGCATAACAATGACATCATCCACTAGCACCACTCAGCACACTTTGTGTTGCCAAAGCAAGAACTCGCCAGACTGAGGAAAGGAGGCTGCAGCTCTTATTTTGTATTATTAATATCAAAGAGGGTCAAATATGTTAAGGCAAACCTCAATGTTGACTTTAAACCTTTGTCAGTCAGACTACGGTATAGCTCGAGACGACAATGTACCATACCGCTTATACCTCGGATCCTCTTCTTTGAATATCACTCGGTGTATTTGGCCACCATTGCTTTACAATGTTGCTGGATTTCAAAGACTTTTTCATCAATGTGATGAAGTACGTGAATTTGAAATGCATCTTATTAACTGGCTTAACTATAACCAGACATTACCGTCTAGTTGTCTTATCCATTAACCCGGGGGTCAAGACCTCCAAAAGGGATCGCAGAGTCAATCTCAGGAGTCATAAGATAATTACAGGGGTGAGAAATAATAAAAAACAAAAATCATTTTGCACAAATTATTTGTTATGGTATTTCTCTCTAATCTTTTCTTGTGTAATACTTCGTAGTAACTCACTCTTGTTGGACGCCACAATGGTAAACCACGATATATATCGATATCATTATATTCAATAAGAAGATTATTATGATAGAAGGTTTTTATCTACATTGCCCACTGCTGAGTCAGACTGGTCCTCAGTGGCAGAGACTTGGCTAGTTGCTGGTTTAAAGCTCAATGAGCAGCGACACCGACTGACTCAGAGTGAGAAATTCTGAGGAGAGAACAGAAACTGAGCCAATCAACACGGATCCACCAGTGATCGAGGAATCGTTTACACTTCAGTTTGGAATCAAAAACATAAAAATGAAATAAGCCTGAGTCACTTTGATATAGGTTGTGATATTTCACTGCATTTACAGTTAAAGCCAAAAAGCCACAGCTTCACTGTGGCAATTTGTTTGTGATAAGTTAATTAATTGTAAATATGCAATATCATCTGACATGACAGGGACCTAGCATTACGACCTGTACCGTTTAAACTGATATTGATCTCATATGAAGTATATTCCTTAATTAATGCTTTGTTTAAATAAATTACACAGCAAATATGGGGCTATCTAAAGTGTCACCATAGCAAAAAAAAAGACATCAGGGGAAAAATGGGGGGTTTAAAGGGGCCCAGCTGCTAATTTGTGCAGCCCATGTTCTCCTTCCTATGCCTGTAATCAATATAAATGTCAAAATCAGCACACAAATTATCTCAACTATTAAGCTTCTTGCATTCCAGAATATATGTTTAATATTATTGTTTAATTCCTCAAAAATGTTAAACAGCATCTCATCTGTAAAACGTGATAAAGTGCCACAACCAGCTGAATTCAGTTAGAAGAATGAATCAAATTTCAAAATTCAGAGAGAAAACAGGACAGCAGTTAAACTGTGAACCTCAAGGAGTCATTTCCATAAGCGAACCCTCCTCCTCGTCTTCCTCATGCTCTTCCTCATGCTCCTGCTGGTGCTTGACCCATTTTGGATGGAATAAGCAAGAGAGGGGAGGAGGAGTGAGAGAAAGAGGAAGGGGAATGATTCAGCATGAACAAGCAAACAGACATGTCTCAAATACATTCACTGTTGCTGAGACTCCACAGCTATTAGCATCCGCACAACAACTGCAACTACTATTGTTTGCATTGTTGTAATGGTTAAAATCTAATTTTTCTTGCAGTATAGCCTGCCATTTATTTATTATATCATAATTTGAGTAACTGTATGATCGGAGAGTAGATGTGCTAGACTTTGTTCCTTGATGTCACCATACTTGGTCAAAGGTGTATCCTTCATCAAAGCAGGCTGATACTGGCAAATCAATTAGAGGGAATACGAGCATTTAACTCTCCACATCCAGGTGAACATGGCCAACTGTGACAGCAGGTCATGTGATCCTCCTCACATTATCCTGTCCGTCCTTCCTCATGTCCAAGATCAACACAAACACTCCCCCTGACACATTGTAAGCTACTGTCACCATGCCATCATCAAAAACCTCTGAATTTTAATTAAACATTTTTCTGTGCTATTGATCCATGACAGTGGGTTTAGGACTCACCCGCCAGTCCCCCGCCTCCATCGCCGTGGCCCTTCCGTTTTTGGAGGATGAAATATGGATTTGCTCTTTCGGTGATCCATAATGCGCCAGCCAGTAAAACATCTTCGGGACTGACCCACATGATTCTTCTGTTTTTAAGGGAACATTGAACACAGGGGATTGCTGACGGCGCCCACTTAACTGGCTCCGGCCGGGATGCGTCTCCAGCAGGGATTATTGAATTATTAAAACACAGATAAAAGCCTGATATTCTCCTCCTCGACCTTTCAAATATCGTTCACTATTGGATATCCGAGAGAAACTAAGACGAGCATGTAAGTGCTGCTATAATTAAACCCGCCAGTGCACGGATCGGATCGGCCTGCAATATGGAAGTCCAACACCAAATTTCGCGCACACAAAAACCTTCTCTGCCAGCACAAAGCCTCTTGTGTGCAGCACAGGCTCTTAAATAAAACACAATAAATTAATTTCTTTCAAGGTGTCGTGGGCTGCCTGGCTCGGTTTGCTGCAGCGCAGTGCTGGATCAGTCTTTGTTGTCCATGCTCCGTGGCAGGTGTGACCCCGTCAGTGGCGCTTTACTGTGCGTTGCTGTTTTTTGCAGAGAAAACCTCGTTATAGACGATCAAAACAAACAGTTGACCGCCTGTTTGCTCCCCCGGCTGCGATGACCGTCCGCGGACTGAAGCAGAAAGGCGACAGTTCAACACTAAACCCGTATCACGGCAGTCTTCTTCTTCTCCGCCCCCTTCTCCGCTGTAGCGCTGCCGCACGCAAAATAAAGCGAGCGCGTCACCGACTGGCCACCGTCAGCGTGCAGGAGGCGGAGGCACGTGAGGTGTTTAAGGAATGATTAAAGTGTGATTATGTTTAAAATTAAAACAAAACGCTTTTCCACTTTTTAAATTATAACATTAAACTTGACTTCTGTTTCGGGTATGGCCTTATTTCTTTAGTTCACGAGCGGATTGTTTAGTAGACATAATAAAAGGTATACCCACTCTTTCCATAGATAACGTCACTCAACTTGTGGAGGTGTGGGCTACTGTAAATTCATTAACATAGCAATTGGAAACTCGTGAGACACGAGCAAACGTTTCCTGTTTGTTTTCTTTAAGTCTTTTGAATAACACCAAGGCCACATTAACCTGGCTAACCTGCTACTACTGGAGGCCCTTAAGGGATTTTACGATTTTAGTTAGAGATTGCACTTTAGTGGTGCCATTACCAAACTAATGTAATTCATCAAATTACCACAAAGTTATACAAATACCTTCTGGACTGGAGCTTTTGGGGACCCCGGGACACAACAGCCTTGTATACCACCCATCAATTCTGGGAACTAACAGTTTTATTGGCATATCTCATTATTTTTGCTATACTAGGAAAGTGCTAATATGAGTAATTAGTAATAAATATATATATATGACAACTAAATAACACACAAAAACATTAGGATGACACAGCTGTGAAGAGAGTTTTGTTGGGTTTCCTGGACTTTGTGGCCTTAGAGGAAGAGGAGGAGCAGCAATAGGTTGACTCTGCTCAACCGAAACATGGCTTCAGATCAGGCGCAGAATTTTGATTTCAAAGTTGGGAGGACACAGTTATTAGTACAGGTGCAATTTCCTTAAAGGGTTTTAGTTTACCGAGGTAAACTATGTGTGTAAAGGATGTGTGTTCATTTTGATGATGATCAGAATCAGAATCAGCTTTATTGGTAGTAGCAGTAGGTGTCAGCAGTGCCATGGCGGGAGGAAGGACCAGGATCCAGATATAACCAAGATCCATGGAAACCTGCGAGGCGAGAAATCACAAAGACACCGGGGAAGAAGCAAAGTTAGTAATGAGCATTAATGGGACATGAATTCATACAGAAGGAGAGAGAGGGAGCTCAGTGCAAGTCCCCCCGCAGTCTAGGCCTATAGCAGTTTATAGGGGCTGGTCCAAGACAAACCTGAGCCAGCCCTAACTAAGCATTATCCACATAATAAGGAAAAAAACTCAATAATTTAAGCCAGGAAAACTAACAGAGGCCGATCTCCTCATGTCCTCTTCACCTTTACCTAGCTTTATTATGGCTCTCCCAAACGCCGCGGACGTTGCTCCTACGATGACGAGGAGGTCGGAAGTTACTAGCACCTCAAGCCTGGCTCACATCAGGGACGAGCTGCACATCTGGAAGAAAAAACTAAAGATTTATTTTTACTGCTGTGGGTGCATACTGTAGCCTAAACAGGAGATGCCCAGAATTGCTAAAGTTACATCAAATTAAAATCACCATTTCATCCAAATTTTAGTCCGTTTGTGACGATAGGCAATTCTCCTTTGGACACGGATACTCGCCTCATCTCTGTGTTAAATTTGGCCAGGGCAGTTTTTTGCTTATCTCTAGCACACACGTTTGTCCGCGTCGTCAAGCGTCGGCTTTTCTTGCAAGTCCCACAGCCATCTCATTTATGCTCCATTACGTCCTCCATTACATCCTCAAGGCTCAAGTGAAGGAAAAGGACACAGTGAGGATTTTAGAATTGGCCTTCATCTCTTGGACCTTGAGGAAGATTGAGTGTCACTTGGTCTAGACTCTAGAGTAGCACAATGCTTTACCACACACTTTGGACTTGAACTGTACTTGCTCTCTGATGCAATGTACAGGCTTGTGAATGGGCCCAGTGAGCTTATAATCATAGCAATGATGTTGTGAGAGCTCTGTTCAATATGTTGGTGATTTTGTTAATTATGTGGACTTTCAGTCCTTGCTCAATTTCCACATTACCAACCAGGCAAAAGTGGCAACTGCCTCAGGGCCTGAGGAATCGGTTCCACCAAATCTTTATAACTTCAAACCAAACTTACCTTGTTCTAACACACGTTAAAGGTGCTATAAAAATAAAATTATTACAAGTGTGCAACAAATAAAGCAACTAACTTAACATGCAACACAACTGACAGTAAAAGTAAAAACCATACAACAATAATACACTTTCATGTAATTTAAAGTAAGTTTACATTGGCACTGAAAAGTGAGAGTGTGGTTTGACTGAATGTTGAAGAGGCTTGCCATGGGGAAGTTGGAAGGGGGCTGGTAGATTGAGGGGGTGGCATTTCCTCCTCGTCCTAGTCAGTGCAGTTTCTCATGTTTTTTCTTTTTTTTTTTAATATAACTTGAGTTTTCAGACTGAAAACACCGTGGTCCATCTTTAGGCAGATTAGTTACCTTACAACAACTGTTAGAAACATACAAACAAAACCTGCAGTGTCTAAAGGAATATTTAATGATCAGTATGATACATACCATTACAAATGTACACAGTAAGACTGTTATATCCTTTTAATGAGAACTGAGTCTGGGGTTTCTTCTTGTATATGGCAAAGCAGTTTCATAACTTCCTTCTCTAATTTATGAAATTGTAAGACATATCTTTCATTTATGAAAATGTTGATACCATTCCCTCCCAGACCTCCTGTTCTGTTAGTTACCAGCAACATCTCATCAGAGACAATCTGTTCCACTTCTTAGTTCCTGAATCACATCCTCATTGTTTACATGCAATTTTCACCTCTTCCTTTAAAATAAAGGACACACACACACACACGCACACTTGCTTTCATTATTTGCCAGCATCAAACTTAACCTAAAGCAGGTGAAAGAACTGACCGCATGCAGTTGCTTAAGAACACATTTTATTTGGTAAAACCAATTCGTTTTAAAGTTATTTCCATTTCATTCCAACTAATTTCCGTACTGTCAACAGAAAGTAAAACTGTTCAGTGTCCACTTTTTCAAAAAGGGATTTCTGCACCGTTTAGTTTCATCCTCTGTTAAGTGGAAATGACCACTGTGGCGTCATGGGAAAACATTTCGATTTTATCAAATATTTCCCAACTAAAAAGGGATTCTTTGTAAGAATTTCCATTTTCTTTTCACAATGCCGAGTATCACTGTGGGCTGTATGTTCCCATGTGTCACTACACACATACTGTACATCATCATGGGTACTGAAGTGCCCTCCTTTGGCCAAATACAGAACTTCTGATTTTAGATAAAAGTGTCCGTCCAACAGAGGGCGACATACTCCTCACCATCTTCACTTTCCTTCCTCATGGGACAAAAGTATGTGAACACTCCAACATCACACCCATGTGTTTGCTGGACATGTCTTTCCAAAACCAAGGGCCTCCGCTCTTCTGGAACCACTCTACACAACACTTTGGATCCTTTCTGGCAGCAGGGATTTGCACCGAGCTATTTTGAGCAGCTCCGTTCGTTTATTTGATTTCACTGTCGCTCATGGTTTGGGCTTTGCACACTCCCTTGCAGGCAACCTCAAACGCAGCTCCCTTGTAGGTTGCAACACACTGGTCACTGGTGCGTAGGTCTGGCAAAACCTGCTCCCAGACCTTGTTTTTGGGGTTCAGCTCTTTGTCTGGTTCACCTGCAGTCAAGAAATCAGTTTGACACATTAGAAGAAGCTACCTTGTTCCCTTCTCATTCACCACAAATGTCGGATTTATGATTCCAGGACAGAGTATACGCCTCCTTGCATAATCGAATCAGAACAGCAAAACCATGGCCAGTAAAATGCTTCCTTGAATCACAATATTCCTCGTGTCGGTTTGGTTGGAAATGGTTGTTAGATTTAATTTTATGCTACTGATTAAAATGTAATAGTACCTGGGAAGCTCGGGAAAATAACTCTGTCCCCTGGTGCTGCTCCGCTTGGAGGTTCAAGGATTTCAACCTTGTCGGGTGAGCTGGCACACATCACCACAGCCTGGGACACCACTCCTCTCGTCTTGGCTGGCTTCAGGTTACACAACAGGACCGCCATGCGGTTCTGCATCTGCATGAGGGACAGACATTTGCCCTTGATAATTAAAAACCTAACAAACATTGTATAGCCTATTTACAGATGAAAACAAAACACCTCCAAATCATATTCACACCGTTACGCTAGTTCTAAATAACTGTGTCCAGTAGTTTATGGTTTGTCTTCTAAAAGCAGAAGAAGAAAAATCCTTTCATGAAATGATGTATGTCACATCTTAGAAAATAATGATATCATTTATTGAGGTGCATCCTTTTAATATTTACCATATGAATTTAGAATCAGTTATGTTGTTAAGATAGATCATTTTAAAAAGGCTTTGGAGGTACGGAAAGTACATACATGCTATGCAACAGTATGCGTTTGTTTTGTGAGTCAAAGACCATTTCCATCAAACCCATAAAGCATTTCCTCAGATATTTTAATCTGGTTTGCGTGACAGAAACAGAGAATATTCTGTAAATAAGATTTAGATTTTAGATCTTAATGTTATAAAAAAAAAGGGGGCTCAAACTATGTAAAACTGACCAAAATGACACTAAAGTATGTGACCTAATAAACCAATCAACAGGCAGCTGCAGCAACAGTGTCCTTAAAGCGGCAGTCAGGAAGCAATTAATTAGGCTGTGCTATATGTCACGGCAGCACCATCAACAGTTTTACGAAGCTAATCTAACATTTTTTGTTTGTGTGTGGAAAGGTTGTCTCTTCTGATTTAAATGACACACTATAAAGTATGTGTCCACATACTTTTGGTTTGGGGCTGTTTTTTAAGGTTTGGGGGAAGCCAATTAAGGGAAATATTACTGCTACACCACACAACGATATTTTAGACAGTAGTGTGCTTCCAACTTTGAGGCAGAAGTTTAGGGAAGGCCCTTTCCTGTTTAAACATAACTTCCCTGTAGAGCCTTTCTGCACAGAGCACAGCGGACCCCTTTGGGAGGAATTGGAACGCCGACTGCGAGCCAGACCATAACGTCCTTAATCACTGCCTGACCTCATTAATGCTGATGTGTGTGTGTGTGTGGATCTCTACATACATTCTGAGAATTCTTGTTAGTTAACAAATTCAACAATGTACAAAGTTCTGTGACCTGAATCAAGAAAATAATCAGTAGATTTATTGTTAAGTCAAAAATAATCGTCAGCTGAAACCCTAATAATTACATCTAAAAAGCACATGATATTCAAAAGAATCTGTACCTGGTCCAGAGGTATGTGCTTAGCTAGCTCGCTGACCACCGTCCTGGGACACATCTCTCCAACATCGACCTGCTCCACATACAGACCATCAGTCTCTGGAAGCTGCACAGTTGAGATTATACGTCCAACGCGCAGGTCCAGACGCGACACGTCCACCTTGGCGTTGTCTTGGCTTGGAGCTGCCCGCTTCTTCTCTGCTTTCTCCCCTCCTTGCATCAAAGAAAGACACGTACTGGTATAATAATCATGCACAGAGAATCACAATGGATTTGAAATGTTTCCCCGTTTCATTACAATGTTTCTTCACAGTAGAAATCTGATATAACACTGCGCTTATGTGTGAAAATCAGACGGTAGATATTCATAGTGTCAAGGAAAGTTTGGATAACGAGATGCATCTGTGAGAGTTGTACACTAAACTCAATGTGCATAATATTATGAAAAAAATTGGTTTAAAAGCACTTAATAGTTCTGCAAATTGGTCATTTACGTGAAATTAAACATAAAAATCATAGCAGAATGATACTCAACAGCTGCAGCATCCAATAATATTTTAGTTAATTATGCTTCCAACTTCGTGTCAACAGTTCGGGAACAGAGCTTCCCTGTTTCAACATGAGCATGCCCCTGTGCACAAAAGCCAGTTCCACAAAGAAATGTTTTTCGTAGTTAGTTGTGGAAGAACGTGACTGAACTGCACAGAGCCTCGACCAGGCTAACACATTTGGGATGAACTGGAATGCAGAGAGTGAGCCAGACCTTATTACCCAAAATGAATGCCTGACCTCACTAATTCTCTCGATGCTGAATGAGAGAAAATCCTGTGGAAAGCATTTAAGGAGAACGGAGGCAGCATGTTAATGTCCATGGTTTTGGAGTGAGACCAAGTTTTCTGAAGTACAAATAATGGAAAGTAAGGAGTGACCGATGTGTCTGCCTCTTCCTTCTTTCCTCCACTACAGACAATCAGCTGCTGCTGTGAGTACATTGTTGTAATTGCTCAACTAATGGGGCTCAGTATTTCTGCTGTAATTTTATTGCCTTGTAGAGGGGCTGCATGTGACAATTTGTTTTTACATAGAGCTGCAACTGAGTAAAAGATGCAGATCACAATTGCTGAGAGCCCAAGGTGACATTCAGACTGTTTGAAAAAGCCCAAAATCCACAGGTATTCTGTTTATTATCAAATAAGGCAAAGGAAAAAAAGCAAATACTCACATTTGAGAAGCTGCAACCAGCATAGTTTAGAATTTTTTCCTTAAAACTTTAAAATTGCTGCAGATTTTTTGTTGATTAAGTAATTAATTAATCAAATAATATTTACATAACGCTGTGTTTGATCTAATTGCGACAAATTGACATAGGTAAACTATGGACCAGGTAGTGGGCCAATAAAAGCAATAAGCAATAACATGCATATTTTGAGACGTTTGGATTGTGTTTTAAATAAAAATCTGACAAACCAAACTATAATAATCTTGTAGTGTGACTGAATGGGTGTAAATGTCTGTCTCCAAACCTGTGGAACCCTTTCAGAAGAGCAACTGGAGGGAGAGTTGCTGTGTCAATATGAATGTCGATGCAATATATAGGTGATATGTTGCCAAAAGTATGACTCTAACATTACACTTGTATGGGATTGTTGAACCTCCGCTTCCCTGAACTCACCTTTAGGCTTGTTGTACGTGGACACTCGGCCACGGAAGCCCATCTCATGCAGCTCCCGGCGGACGGTCCTGGGGCTCACGCTGGCCCCGGAGGCGGTCTGAAACTCTGCGGTGAGAGCTTCCACCGAGGGCGAACAGTTTTCCAACGCTACTTTCTCCAGGACTTGACGGTCCTCCTCCTTGAGCTTGTGCGGTCGGCCGCTCCGGGGCAGAGCCGTCGTTATTCCTCCACGTTTCCACTTCAAGATGACAGCGCTCACGGTGGACCGCGGAAGGTTTAACAGAACGGAAATCTCCCGGACAGACTTTTTGCACATGTGACATCCAACCACGGTCCCCCGCTGGAAGTCACTGAGCTCCTCGCTGCGACCCATTCTACCGCAAATGTCTGCAGTCTGCAGAATGCATTGATTTCACCTCCTCCTCCTGTTTGTCCTCTTTCTTCTTCTATGTTTTTGGCAGTTTGAATACTGCCCTCCACAGGATAAAAATACACATAAAATAAAAGTAAGAACAGGGCTAAAAATGTAAGTTATACAAGAATAAAGTCAGAATTAAAGGCAAGAGAGGTACGATTAGCCGCAAAAAATCAATAATTTTATAATATGATAATGTAATGATAGGCTAATGTCAATGCATATTTTAGGAACAACACTTGAACACATTGTTTTAATAATGATAATAAAAATGCTTTACAGTATAAAGATGGATACATTACAGAGGGTTGGAGACAAAAACAATGATTTCAAGAGGTAAAAACTAGATGATAATTACTGTAAAACAATGTACAATCAGTTAGGTGAAATCCTGATGAATGAAACATTTATTTTGAGGAGGGATTTAAAAGAAGACAGATTTTAGTTTGTCCTTCTAATGTAAAGTTTACAAATGTGGCAGGCTGTGCATTTTATACCTGGGCCTTCACTGCTGTCCTGCAGCTGAAACACAGCTATGGTCATTATTTGTTTCGTGACCAATCACGTACTTGTAGGCCAGCTAGCAGACTCTGGCATGTCAAAGAATACGCCCAACATGTCAAACTAAAGATCTGATTGGTTGAAGAATATGACAATCAACAATATCGTCCCTGTTCATTTAAACTGCTCAGGGATGCACTTGAGAATTCTGCAGGCCTGGGCCTCTCTTCTTACCTAGAGACACAGAGGTGAAATCTGATTGGATAAAAGCTCTACTTAAAACAAGCTGAAGTGGAAGCAGAGCAACTGAGGAAGACAGTAGCTGTGCATTGAGAAAATAAGATAATGGGAAAAATAACTTTATAAATTATAATACATGTAGTGTATTTAAGAACAATTATTAAATTATAAAATAGCTCTAACTTTGTGATTCTGTTTAGGCCAGCAGAGAAGGCCTTGCAGGCCTTGCAGGCCCTGACGGCCCACCACTGATCAAAACACCCGTGGTCCCTTCCTTCAGGCTCGACCAGTGTTTGTCAAGGCAGATCATTCCTCAACTGGCCTGTTGTCCGTGGCAACCCCTTATATAACACACAAAGGCGTCCATACATACACGCACACACAGCTTCAGATGATTTATCTCTACCCCCTTTAAAACAAAGAATTAAAAGGCGAAATACCCCCCTTTCGATGGACCATGATAGGACCATGATCCCATTTAAATTGAGCAATGAATTACACATATGATGCTTGTCAATTTAAAAGATCGTTTTTACACACATCGCTTCTGTATAGGCATGAAAAGATGCAATCAGAGACTTTGACGAATCGTCCGTGGGAGAATAGCTTGATTTGTAATCACAGTGTGCACCCTAAAGGATCATGGAGAGTTCAAGGACACAATCACATGCTGAAATATACACACAAGTGTGTTCAAACCCTCCACCGCACACATGCACATAGAAACAATCACACAGCCATTATTGACCGATTGACTAGACAAGCTTTGTTATCAGTTCACCTGTCTTATACAATGGGTTCACATTTCTAGACCATGGTTCCCACTTTCTCAGTATCTCCTACCCTACTTTCTGTTTAAATAGAAGACGAACTGCTCTGCAAACCGATCATTTAAATCACAAATACATTTAGAGGACAATTATAGAATATTTATTAAATCTCTTATCTGTACAATGCAGCTCATGAGCACACAGTAGGCTCCTAACCATGACTACCATATAGAATGTTTGTTCATTAATAGGCATGTGTACCATATCTCCAGCTTGGTTAAGCACCTCTTCTATAATCCTCTTTAAATGTTGTCTTTCTCCATGGTGCCTCTCCATTTAGCCGATTCTGTCAGCGAGCCTAACACTGTTGCTTGCGCTCTGTGTTTTTAAATGATTCAGTTATTGCTGCGAAGTTGTGAGTGTAGCGGCGGATGGTGGGTGGCTTAGTTTGCTTCACCGCTCTGTGATAATCTTGGATATTTCTTCCTTGTGTGTGTTCGCTTTGATGTCTACAGTCATGTATTAATCTAACTATGCGCACACTGAGGTGCCTGATTTTCCTTCTTTCCTCCAGTGATAATGCTGTGGCTCCTTGTGTTGGTGTGTGTGGTTATAAAGATAATGAATGCATGTATAGTAGTGTGTCGGTGTGTGGGTGTCAATTTAACCCCATTCATTAAGAGCTGTCTGGTTTCTGATTAATGGGGAAAAAAACATGCACCTTCTTTTCCTGTCAATGAATAAGTACTGTGATAACGTATCAAGATCATATAGGTGACATGTTGAAATCCGGCTTCATTGTTTCCAATTGTTCTCTACATTCAAGATCAGTATTAATGACATCAGTGCTTGTTGGATGGGCCTGTTTTTTTCCAGCACAAGCTGCAGTTTAGTACAAGAAGGTTTTATTGACCCCACACACAAAGCCCTTTGTGAATAAATTTAAATGGCACTATAACGCATCATGAAATGCAGGTGCCTAAATTACAACAAATGTATTCTGTTGTCCCAGTCAGCTGTCTTGTCATTGTTCTACTTGATTATTGTCCATCTTTTAATTTTCTAGTACCTGCTTAATATTTTAGTCAAGATAAATTACTAAACTAAACTTTATTCAAAACTTAATCATTGTTGTATAGACTTTTTTCTTAAAATCTTAGTAATTATATCCCCTCCCCTCTTCCATTCTTTTTTTTCTTGTAGGATACTGTTTTTTGTCCACCTATTTTTATTTGTTGTCCATTAAGCCATTTATTATATCCTCCAGGAGATAATGAGATCAGTCGTGTGTACGCCCATCTCTGTGTCTGTCCACGGCTAATTTGCATTTGATACTGCAAGAGACACAGTTATTCCGAGTCTTTTCATTGGGCATCAACCTAATATTATACGTGTATTGTCTAAAAAGTAGACTTGAAGCCTAACGTAACGCTTCAAAGTTGCAGTTACGCCCACGAGACAAAGCTGAGACGTGCGCCTGCACAGATCTGGTGCACTCATCTTCATAGATAAAAATGAGAGCATACTGTATCTGTTGCGAGTGAAAAACACCACTGATGGTCGTTGCAGACACATTTGTCTGAGATCGAATGCACCTTTAGCGTTATCTCGTACTTTCAAGGCCTTTTTTCGGATTGGGGGTGAACACAGAAAGGAGAGAAATGGCACGTATGTTGGTCGACGTTACCCCCCATCACAGCCAGTTGTCAGGAACTGGCCAAGTGTTCCTGGAAGAAAAGTTGCCATGGGAGGTGCAAGTGCTTTCAGTTCGGACTTCCATGTACAGCACTCTGCAGCTGCATATGTGAGCAGTAGCAGTTGGAAGATGAATGTGCCCGATGACCGTACCTCTGTGCGGAGTTACTGCAGACATTCAGATCTAAATGATACCCCCTGAATAGTGACATTGACATTAATGCACCTGAATTTGGTGGTACATATTAGTTTGAGGCTAAGTCCTCAGCAATTGTAAGTAAAATTGCATTTAAATAACTGAAAAATGATAAAAACAAAAAACAATGTTCATGTTACAATTGGTTATAATCACTTTAAGGCAACTGCAAAATTGTTGATTTTCATATCAGTTCAGTATCTAGTGCTGTAAGATAATTAGTTTCTGTCCAGACTGACTAGTCTAGCAATGTTTCATATGTTATGTATAGTTAAATCTCCATAAAGAATCTCAACTACTTTCCAACGGTGCTGATATATCCTAGCAACTAGTCTTATAATGTTGTTCATGTGAATTTAGCTGCTTTGATTTCATGTTTAGAATAATATTGTAGATCTTATATGAAAATGTAGCATATTTTACAATTTAAAATGTAAAGTACAGTTGTTTCATTTATTGAAAGAGTTACAACTTTTTTACTGTCCATGCTGAATAGACTAGTCTGGGAATGTACTATAAGTTATACATTTATCTTTAATATCAAATGTATTATTGTCAGATGAATTAAGTGTCCAGTGCCATACAGTTTGTTTTGTCCAGTTTGATATTATATTCTTGTAATGTCCAATTTGAACATAGTTGAAGGAAATGATTTTCATAAGAGTTGAATTATTAATTGACACTTATATTCGTTACTTTTTCCACTAAATGTCCAATTTCATCAGCACATTCATTATTCTAGTGTTATAGTTGTCGGTAATTATTAAAGCATCTTTTATTACATACAGACACCAAGATCATTCAAATCGGCGAAATACAAAGTTTTATTTGAATAAAACAAATTTATATATATATATATATCTCATATATCTCGTACAGTATTTCAAAGCACTCATCAAGTTGGTTCAGAAACACATTTGACAATTGCAATGGAGAACTCAACAATGAATTTTTACCTAAGTTCCCTGGAGGAACAAGTAAGATGTGAACTGTTGGACAGCAAGGCGAGGCTCACCCAAACAAAAACTAAGGACAGAGTCCTCCTAGAAATTGATGAAGACTGTCTTCAACATTTTCTAGATGTTCTCCACGAAAAGAACGAAACCAGGGAGTCCACCAAGGAGGTATCTAAGAACCTCTGTCAGGCTACTGTTGATAATCAGTTAGATGTCATCAGTCAGCTCAAGGAGGCTCTTCATAAGGCCGAACAGGAGCTGAAAAATGGGCAAGAGGAGAAGGCCTCCCTCAAAGCACGCCAGCAAAAAACCTGTGAATATCTTCAATCACAGGGGCGTCTCATCACTTCCTTTCGAGCACAAGAGCAGAAAGCAGCAAAACAGACGCTGAAAAAAGCCCAGGCTTTCCATAAAGCCCAGATGGATGAACAGAGAGTGGAGACGAACAGGATCGCAGCAGCTCTGAAAGAAACACAGGACCTGC